AMMMMAAAAAAAAAAAAAAGGTTAATAGTTAATACCCAACAACATGACAAACAATAAATCCGCATCAGCTGTGCAGAACCGAATACCGATTAACAAGTCAAAATTCAGTTGGCCAGCCGGGCACCCTGGAAAAGCAACAAGTGGGTGCGACCGCCGTGTAATAACTTTAATCTCTCGTTTTCTGAAAAGGCAGTCGGTCACCACACAGCGGTACTGACCGCTGCCGAGTAAAACGCAATATTTGATAATACCGGGTCACGTGAGCCGCCGACAAACAAAACAAGACTCTCGACCTTGGCGGTTTTCGAATAGTTATTTTGCTCGTGGGTCAWATCTCGCGGCGTGCACTGGCCGTCGCCAGGCCGCCAGGGCATTCGTCGTTCAGTGTTCAAACATCACGACAATGGGCAGCGTAGGTGGCGCAAGAAGAATGAAAAATTTGCTTTGCGCTTCCGTCGTCGTAATGGATCGGATTCTCARAGAAACGAGAAAAACCCACCTAGTTCAAGACGACTAGAAAGCGACCGACAAACTCGCAAACACGTTGATCCGTTTCCCCGTTGGCGGTCGAGATGACRCGAAGGGTAGGCGTAAATTATAATTAAGACGATATAATATTGTAATATTGCGACTGACGTCTCTATCGTTGGAAACGCCGTCGACACTTACCTGACTGGRGTCTGGTCGTGTCCGGGGTCGCGACGATCCGTCGTTGTCGGTAATAATTATTGTCATACCAGCCAAGGGACCACCCGCGCGCAACGATCTGTCAAGGGYCGGACGTGCTGTGTTGCGATACGAACTCGGCCCTGGGAACCGGGAAGTCGACAACGGAAAACGGAAGGTCACTGACAAAAAGCYGTAACGATGAACAACTGTTACGGTGATCAATTCGTCTGATTCCGATCGGCGAACGGTCGCGGAGAGTGCACGGCGGCGGGCGCGTTGTCGGACTGTGTGCCGTGTGGTTGTTGCGCGGTCGTGGACGACCGGCCGGCGCGATACGTGTGACGCGGTGCGGACTACGGACGAGATCGGAATTCGGCGGTCTCGTCGTCGCCGGTCGGGCCGGGTGCGCACGCGCACGCACATGCACCACCCGCCTTCGCACACGGTCGCACGCACGCGTTTCCCTTCGGCCCCCTCCCCCGGCCCGCCGCACGGTGAATCGGCGACGAGTTTTTCGGTGCACGGGCTGCGGCGGCGGAGGAGGAGATACGGAGAAACCGGCCACGGTCGACCGTCAAGCGGCCGCGGCGGCGGCGGTGGTGGTGGAGACTGTGTAGACGACAGACAGACGCTCGCACGCGCATCACTCCGCCAGTTCCGCGGCGAGCGCTTGTTACGCGCACCTGCGTTCCACGCTGATACATTWTTTGTTTATTTTTWAACCCTCATGACTAGTTCAAAAATCAAAATTTTGACCTACCCCGGATAATATTCTTGTCTTTAAATTTGAGATATCAGATAACCGAATAAAACTGTCTACATAAGGCGGAAAATATCAAAATATAGTTCTCGGGCGGCCGTCCGCCGCTACAGGTGGATATCACCGCATTGGGCACATCGTTTAATATCATAATATACAAAACAATAATAATATTATCGTAGTGTGCATATTTGTTTATTTTTTAAGAAAATGTTCTCTTCTTGTGTACAAATGTCACCCCCCCCCCTTCTGTTTTCTAACCACGACCCGCGACCACATCTGTTGGAATAACATAATATTATATTATACATCAAACAACTGTGTATATAAATTCTCTGAGAAGTCTTTTGTACCATACCCACTTCTTTCTCTCCGCGTTTTTATTGTTGTTTACCAATCGACCGAATTCGTAAAACGTAATTATTCCAACCGTAATCTACAAAACGGCTCTCAGCTGCTGTTGTTGCTGCTACCGCCGTCCTTAATTAGACTAAACATCATAAAGACGCCGCCGCATATTAAAATATCGTTTCCGGCAATGCAAACAAGTGCTTAAAAAAATGTTATTTTTCCGTTTCGTGATGTGTAGATTTTTGAACACACACGTTTAGCTCACACGGTTATTGATCGTAGTCGATTTATCTCACTTTCACACCATTTCGATATTAAGATGGTCGTACGAGTCTGTAATCGGAAAAAATATGGTAATACTCAGTAGGCGGACGCATTCAATTAACGACTATGGTTGAAGATAATTGATATTTATTATTTTATGGCGTTCGAGTCGTTCGATTAAACGTAACTTCGTATATAAATACGTACATGCACGTTTTTCAATWAAATCGTAGCCWTTTTCGATTTTGTATGATTCTGATGATTTAAATGCGCTAAACGTCATGTTTATGTTTGTTTTCTAAATAATAATAAAAATGTACTGTCATTTTAACATTACTAATTTTAAATGTATTTCTTATTTTTGGAGCACTTTCAACTTTATTCTTCGTTTAACCGTCCACTGCTAATTTCCTGTTAAAAATAAAACGTATACAAAATATAAAAGAATATTAWTATTTATTCATGTGCAGTAAAAACAATGTAAACCTTTTATTACTCTTTGAACAGTTTGAACGCTGCAAGTCGTATGTCATGTAATCATTTTGTTGTTTCATCTGCGTCTTGCAATGTTGCATTATTTAATTTATATTATACGCCYGTATGATTAATAGAATAATTATACTTTATGATGTGGAAAAAATAATTTTTACTACTAATTTATTAATTTATRATCCAAACATTTTACACCTATTACTATAATTAATAATTATTGCATAATATTATTTCAATAAAAATTATTATTGATCTTGGTGTGAACCTATTCGGGCTACTGATCAACATTTTGTACATGCTAGGATTTTTAAATTGGCATCCTTGCTAAAAAATAATATAAAGTACTTACACACTGTCAGAAGATCAAAAATATRTAATTAATATATTTAAATGTTAATTTATGTTGCTTTTAACTTTTMAGATAAGAATACACTATTATAACGTAGGGCGTTTTGTTTTTTCATTAATTATAGTATAATGTTACATAGCACCTATATGCATATAATATGTACTGAAAATGTATTTTACCTTCGTTAGTCTTCAACAAATTCAATGAAAAGCTTAAAAATGTAGCATCATGATTCATGACACATCATTTTGACCAAATAAACATGCACTATACACGTTGTCAAGTTGAATCTGATATATTGTTAATTAACTGAGATCGTATTTATGTGAAAAAATATGTCTCCTTTTTTGTTCAAATGATGTTTAAATCCGAAGTTKATGACATTTTCTATATGCCTTTATATTTATAAATTCACTAAAAAATACTACAACTGCTTGAAAACTGTTCAATGATATTATATTTGATACCTAATTTAAAATGTCAACAAATGTACCAAGTGAAATTTCAAATAAATCATTAAATCTACTGACTTATAACTGTTATAAGTTATAATAATAACAAGGAAAGCTGTAAAAATGCAATAATAAAATAACTGGTTTAGTGGTTTGAATTAATGGATACATTCTCTAAAATGGTTAAATAGGAAATAAAAMAWTTTTATTATTTTTGGTGTCAATCTACTTAGATATTATATAGTTATAACTCGAAATAATATAAATTGCTTACGTGCGAACACTAAACATCAGCAGTTCCCAAACATTTTTATTTTAATTTATAATGTACACTATGCATAATAATAATTAATATGAATATAAAATACCCTGAATCCCGAATGTATAAATTATATAGAAACTGAACAGTTGTGAAGTTATATTATGTCCATGAGTATAGTGACTTTAATGTACTATATTATGATATTATTACACAATCGTATAGGTATATTGTTTTCGTTAAATAATACTGCACAATAATAATAATAGTATATCGTGATTATATTACGAAAACCAAAACATCTTAAATTTATATTTAATTTAATTAATTAAATCTTTTTTTATTTATTTTCAC